ACTGTATTAATATTAACCTTTTCAAGGAATATTCCTCAACTTTAACCTTGTGTAGTAGAGTAGTGCTTGAGTCAGTTATGATCAGCCTTAGTGTACTTCCTGTTAGTTGTTACTTGTTTAAGAGAACACCGAGGTTTTCCTAAGGGGTGTTGACCTTGGTTTGGGCTCTAGCCAGATTGTAAACTTTGTATATAGAACGTGCTGCCAAACTGACCACATCAACTCCAGCTGTGTTCATAAGAGAACACAGGCAGCTGGGATTAAATAACAAAACACATGCCCAAGAGGCAAAATGTGTAAGAAGGAATCAAAATATAACATGACACACTAGTGGACAAATAGTGCATATTTGTAGCTGAGCTTTCTGGTTGCCTAGCAGCCATATAATCAGAATATATTGACAATCCAGGTGAATAAGGTATCATATGTACCATATAACTATACAGCAATATTGATGACGTTGCTTAATGCGGACCTTCCACCATAAACTACGTTATGCCCTATTGTAATCTTCCCCCTTAGTTTTTGAGAATGACTTGTAACCCTGCTCTGACAATCTCCTGAGATATATAAATCACCTATCCCAGGTAATGGTGAGCCTGGGCTTGTTACCCAAGTCAACTCAAAACTGTGACTCACCTCCCTCCGAGCCCAGTCAGTTACCTCTTTGTGACGTGTAGTTGCAGGGAGGGAAATGCCCCTCCCGCAACCGATTGGCCTGGAAGGGGAGTATGTCAGTCACCGTGTTGAACTGTGTTGTCAAAGGAGCTGGGTTCACACCAAGCCCTTGCTTATCACTAATCCCAGGCATCAGCTTTCCGCAAAGCACTGGAGGAAGGATCTGACTCCGTCTCATCAGGGGGCCAGCTGCCAGAACCAGAAAAAAGATAGCCGGCTCCTGATGTTGTAAGAAAAGATAACGGTGGTGTGGTACTAGGTTTGCAGCTACAGAGCAGCGGATTACAACAACAATGTAGGGGGCAACGCCCCATGTGAATGAGGCCGTAAACTAAATCTGAGGGAAAGTGTGATAATATAAAAAAAAAAAAAAAGCTTTGCAGCTGGTGAAACCTTTTTCATAGCCGTGTCTTCTACAGGGCCCCTCCTTAAGTAGCTATACAATTACAACTTTCCTAAATTTACTGATTGCTCATCCAGAACTTGGGAATCTATTGCCAGCTTCAGGCTGGGACCACACATAAGTTTACATGGCTGTTAGAAAGAAAGTCACCGAGCGAGTGAGCTGGAGGGTATATTGTATTATATTACAGGCCAAGAAAACAAAATGTAAAAATGTAGTGCTAGCTCTAAAAAAGCCAACAATAATGTGTCTATTTTATATACCGTACATAAATTTCCAATAATTCTATAAATAGTTTAAACCAAACTTTTTTGCATCTATATTTTTTGATTTGAAGTGGTTAAACCCATAGTGACTACTTCAATTTAAACAATTACCAACAGAGTACAGGGACCAGAAGGGTGCAGGTAATGTGACTACAGCAGTGAGAATGGATGACACAGGGGTAAATGAATTTACTTCTTACTACTCCTGGAAATACTTCAAAAAGATGTCCCACACTAGCAGAATCCTTAGTAGTGGTTCATAGCATAATTTACAGGAGCTCTGGCCACCCTTCTTTTAGCTTTAGGGTGGTGAGAAAAACATACTGAGTAGAGTCTCACTCGTACTGCAGACCAAGGTAGAACCCCATTACTTTCCCACCCCATTGGCCAACGTTGGACGGAGTGTACTCATTGCCATGGGCATTTTTCAGTCCCCTCAATGACCTGGAAACTGGGTACTGCACTGTAAGTTGTTGCAGAATCCCTTAGAAAATGCAGGTCTCCGAGTAAGGGGCCCAGAGGCATGTGCAAATATAAGAAACCAAGCAACCATAGGGATTTAGTAAATAGTATATTTGTATGCATATGGTGAATGCCAGCAAGAAGTAAAAGTCTCTACATTTATACCCTGAAGCTGCCCATACACCTTACGACCTTCGCAAGACTATTGTCTTGCGATGGTCGTATGCTTCTTGAAAGCCCGTACGATCTGCCCACCTTGGACGGGCAGATCGTACTTGCGATCATCGAAAGCCCGCCCTGCTGAGGGGCGGGCTTCCGATGACGGCAATGCAGAACGGACAGTGTGCGGAGAAACAGTCGCACGTCTTAGTTCACACTGCCCGATTCTCGTACGAGAATCGAGCAGTGTATGGGCACCTTTAGTTCACACTGCTCGATTCTCGTACGATTGCGGGATTTCGCCCGATTCTCGTACGAGAATCGAGCAGTGTATGGGCACCTTAAGAGTGAATGCTAAATTGTGCTGCTTCACTGGATTGTCCCTTTAATTACCTGTTGTTATTCTCTCCCTCTTTTCATGTTCCACCTAGCACTAAAACCCTGTCACATCTGTGTTTTTGACTTGTGTTGTGAATCTTTTGTTTACTGTCCTGTAGAGCTGACATATGGAAACCTTGCATGGTACACCTGAGGCAAATGACATCTAGCATTGTGCTTTAACGCTCCATTTCCAGTTTATGGAGAAGGGACTGTTTGTGATAGAGGCAGTCTGGAAATCATAAAGCAGGCACATGTTCAGCTCTCTCTCAGGCTCTTAGGATAGAGCCTGGCTTTGTACAGCCACTTTTCCAGACAATTTGACACAGTTTAAAAGCTTTCCTTGGCAAAGAGCTTGAAAAGGGGATCTCTGAAAGGCTTGTTTTCCAAAGGTATTGGAGTTCATGTGTTTGTCCATTTTTACCCTGGAAGGGTTTTGTATAGGGCAGGATATAAACATCTAGAGCCACATAAGCTAACATTAAAGGGAACTTAAGATAACTATAAAATGGTTCAGCTGGTAATTTAAGTAAAATTGAGGAACCTAGTGGTGGCTGCACATTTTAACAGATGTCTTTAAGAAAGTCCTGAAACCAGAGTGTTCTATTAAATTAATGCTACCTTCATCTAAGAAGTTGGCCTACCCACCTCTGACAGCTTCCATCACCATGCTTTGCCAGTAGGTAGATAGAGATGATATTTATGCACTGGCACTTCTAGGCTCCTGCAGTTCCTTTACAGTACAATGTGAACAATCATCTACAGTATGTTACTGTTTATGGGATTCCTTATGGCCTAAACAGTCAAAAAACATTTGAGAGAATTAAAAAAATTAGGGTACTCACACTGTGTGGCTGCCATTGACGTCCAACAGTAGGGCAGACAGAAACTACAGGTAATTCTGATTGCCTTAGCATATTAGCTGTCCTTCCAGCTTCACAAGCTTAGGCAAGAGCATTAATAGGTTGTATTTAGCAGTCCATAAATATCATGCTCACTCTCTGGTTTAAATACTTTGAGTTACTGATCCAGAACCAGTATGGAGATCCTGAATTCTGACTTCATTTCCTGCATACACATTCTGGGTCAGTGACTCAAGTATTGAAGACAGGCAGAAGGTCAGAAACATCTATTGTGTTCCTGTTACTACAGGTTTCTTTTTGTCATTATAAAAAGGTCGTCTTTGAGTGCCTCTTAGCAATTTGTATTGTATGCAGTGGGACAGAATGAGCAGGATTTTGAGGCACTGTAAACCCTACTCATGAAGCTGCTCAATGGTCCCAGTGACCTTGCTAGCATTGCATAGGGGACTTAAAATTGCAAGTGCTGCTATGCTAGAGAAAAAGTGCCCCGAGGTCTCTCCCTTATGGGGCACACTTTCTGATGTTTTCCCTAGTAGGCTCGTGGACCTTTCTCTTTGCACTGCTGTGAAAGCATTAAAGGAGAACTATGAGGTGAGTGATTTTTCACTCAGCCTCATAGTTCTAGCCGACCTGTGACAATGAAACTGGTGCTTATTTCTTCCATGTTACATAGTTACATAGTTAATCAGGTTGAAAAAAGATGTCCATTGAGTTCCATTCCCTATTCTTAACATGTTCTTTTAAGATGAAATCTTTGCTTGAGCCAACTAGCCTTAGCTACCTGGGAGATTTAATGTAAGTTTCCTACTCCGTTTTCACCTTTGTCTGAAATGCTAAAGCGTTAGGCAAGGTACTGTACTTTATTATAAATGACTTGTGTGCCTTAAAGTGACATAAAAGTCACAAATGTTTTGAGCCCCCCATGATGCTTTAAGGACTTATCTTAAATGATGCCTCTTGATCCGATCATCTTCTTCCTTCCACTTGTATTGAGAAATCCCTTCAGCGCAGGTGGTGTTCTCTGATCCAGCGTAGACTCCTCGGGTCCCACTGTGTCTGTCCGACGTGCACGCTCCCAGCTGAATGCATTCTCTGTTTCTCCTTTTTTCTCCGCCGAAGATCTCTACTGTACATGTGCCCACCCCAGCATCCTGCTCGGCTGCTCAAGAAGCTCCAGATCTTCAGGCGGGAGCGAGCAGCGGTGACAAAGGAAGCTATTTACCTTTTTGGTAACTGTTTTATTTTTGTTAAAATGTTTTTTGCATTTGTCTACTGCTTGCTAGTAGTAGATATATGCAAAAAAAACAAGTGTTTAATTATACTTTAACTGTTTCCTAATCCATATGCTTTTGTGCCTAGTTTTTATTTTGATATTTAACTTAAAGTAGATGTGAATGTTCTGCATGAATTATACATGTGTTCTAACAACCTCTAAGAACATGGCAAAATTTACATTTATTAAAACGAAGTTCCCTTTTTAAGCAGCCTGGCCTACAGAGAACAAGCTGCTCTTGAAAGTGTGGGCTAATTATTCAGCCCAGTGCAGAGCAGGTCTCTTGTCTCCAGGAAATGCCCTCTGGTTGTATCTATTCAGGCTTGTTCACAGCAAAGCAAGATGTATGAAACTTTGTATGATTTATGTAAGCCCTGTACAGGAACAGAGCCACCATCTAACCACTGTCTATTATTCTTATGGCTCTATCATTAAAGTTTGTCATAGACTGAATTGTTCATCAACTGTGTTCTGGTGTAAACATTAATTATCATTTTTTTTTTACATTTTGGTTTTAGTTGGTCCAAAAAACATACAGAATGGAAGTTTCAAAAAACAAGGCAAACCTGGCTCCTCATGAATATGTATGATGAAGAGAAGGTAGGCTTCCTAATATATATGATTGTTTTTATGTAATGCCTGTAGACAGTCAAAATTGTAAGTTCTCAAAGTAAAGGTTGTTGCTGTTGACCTTCATCTTCATTAATCTTCATCATCATTAAACTGATCCTGTGGCTTTTAAACGTTGAGTCTCCAATTAAGGCTCTAGGTATCAGAGACATGTCCTGGGTCTTTGAAAGCATTGGCATGTGGCATTATGGGATTGTGTGGTGGCAGTTTGAAATATAGTGAGTCAGTGTGAGAGGTAACTGCAGATCAGCAGTGGCAGCCTAAGCCACTAACTGGAAAAAAAAATGTCCGCATCTGTGGCCAATAAGAGTTCCTTTCATTACTCACAAGCCTTCACCTCCAAGACCAGACCCAAGCCAAGGGCCCAATTCAGTTCCAAACCCTGGGCCCCTAAATCTCTCAAATTTTCAGACAAGTTCTCTTTAGCATAATGGGACATCCCTACTTTCCACAGTGGGCAGATATCTGTTGGCCTTAGAAGTAAAACTTCTAACTCTTTGCTTCCAGTTTAGGAGCTGTCTGCCTCTGCCTGAGATTCTGCATGAGAGTTCTGGGCATGATGGTAGCCTGCTTAGAGGCAGTACCATTTGTTTATTTCCACTTCAGACTCCTGCAACACAACATTCCCTTTTTGTGGGACAAATCAGTTCAGTCTCTAAATAAACCAATTCAACTGACAACAAAGACCAGGTTATCTTTGGCCTGGTGGCCCAGAATGCCAGCTCTGAAGTTGGGAAAATCCTTTGTCCCACTAAGTTGAAAGATAATCACAATGGATGCCAGTCTGAATGGCTGGGGAGGAGCACTAGACACCTTGTTTGTGCAGGTGACTTGGTCAACAGAGGAATCTCATCTCCTGATCAACATTCTGGAGCTCCAAGGTGTATGGCTGTCTCTACAATGCTGGACACCCCAACTAGTGGATCATCCGATTAGTATCCAGTTGGACAACATCACTGCAGTGGCGTACATTAACTGGTCCAAAGACCAGTTTCAAAGACCGCTACCATTCCATTTAATGGTCAAGAATTTTCTCCTCATGTGAATACTTCTAGAAAATAGCTGGCTTTTTATTCTTTACATACCTTATTTTTCTTTTCCTCCCCATTCTTTTCACAGTGGCCATTTTTACTAAGGGCAGGTTACTCTCCCTTTACTTCCTGGAACGCTGGCACATGTGACCAAGACATGTAATAGAAGGCTCAAAAATAGTCCAATATGGAAAGCGCACTTCGGGTGGGCTTGTGTGTTGAGGCTGGTGTGCAGCTCCTGATAGAATCAGATCTGGGTGACTTGTATGTATGCTAGACAACAAAAAGGAGAAATGGAGCGCCAAAACCTAGCGCAATAAGGTGTTGTTGGGTGGGACAGAAAAGAACATAAAGTGTTTACACTCACATGTAGAAGGATTAAATGAGAGCTCAGCGATATCAATCCATATGTGGTGGTGTGGCATCTTCAGTGTAAAGCTGATAAAAATCCAGTGGTTGGAGAGAGTGTGCTGGTTCACGAGGTGGGGGTGGGGATCAGGTGACCAAAGAAGAGAGGAAAAACAGAAAATGGTGTGATACTGTTATTGATGTAGAAGGAAGGAGATGTATGTACTCACCCTCATGACAGATGTTATGCGGTTTCTGAGGAGAGGGCCTTTCGGCGAGCAAGATGGAGTTGGTTCTTGGTTCTCTGAGTATGGGGATGAGTGTATTTCACTCTCCCCATAATTCTCCTTTATTACGGGTTTTTTTTTATTTTATTTGTATTTTAACGTAGTAAAATGCAATTAATTAAGTTAGCTGACTTAGGCCTCATACACACTAGCACTAACATACATGCGTTTATATTTATTTAAAGGACATTTCTAAACACATATAAATGCATGTAATGATTTCAGTTGTATTATTTACACTGTGCGTTTACCTTAATTTAGGGGTGTCCAGTTTGGCTGTGTTTAGAGAAAAATTAGTTATGTCTAGGAGCAGAATAGATACTCTGAAAGCATCTAAATGTATGTAAACCCAAGTACATTTAAACGCATAAGTGATCTACTGTAGTTAAACTAAATGCAGAAGGCTAGTGTGAGTGCAGCCTGAAAGAAAAGTTGTACTCTGCACTGCCACCTTGTGGCCAGGGTTCAGGTAGTTTTTTTAATGCATTTTGCAGCCAGTGTTTATAAAATGTGGCCAAATCAAAGCACATTCACACTCCTGGATTTAACCAAATTCTTTGCTGTATGGCAGCATTTGTCCTCTATTTGCAAGGATTTTGGGTTAAGATCTTCATGTGCGGCGAATATACATAGAATAGAGTATGTCGCAGTATCAAGCATGACAAGTCTCTATAAGGACTAATGAGAGCAGTGGCGTCGCTACATGGGGGCAAGGGGGGGCAATTGCCCCCCCTAGGTTTTCACTTGCCCCCCCCGTGTGCCCCCCGCCAGGGATCGGCAAGGTGTCCTTGCAGGGTCCGCCGCGGTCGTACGGAACAGTTGGTACGTCCCAACACCCCCGTCCAATTCAATAAGAGGCATTGATAAAATCAACGATTTGCCCTTTGAAAACAGAAAATGTTTAAAAGCAATCGCAGGTTGGCAAATGTTACTGTGGCCGTATTATACAGCAAAGGTTACTGACACATGGATTTCCCATTCTTCAGTGTTGGGTGAATGAGAGCATGCAGACATTGAATGTGCTTTTTTTTTAAGTTCATTTAATGTTTTGACAGCGGAAGGGTGGCAATTGATATCGAATTGACCATTCACTACATAAAAAAATATGCACCTCAGTTAGAATGCACTTATGGGGCTGATTTACTAAAATAATATTGACTTTATTTAGCAAAGTGAATGTTTGCTGAGCTTAGTAAATCAGAGAAATCTGTGTTCACTTTAATCAACCAATCATTTGCTAGCAAACTTTTATTTTTATTTTTTTCATTTCATTTGCACATGGCTGGGTATTCAGAGTGAACAACGTTTCATCTAATTCACTGCTAAGTGAACAGCCTTTATTCTTTTAGTAAATCAACCCTAAGTGAACAAAAAGCTTCCATTTAACTTTTTTTATTGATTTTTATTTTTGTTATAGCAGTGCAATTAACTTGAAGCGTATATTGCATCTCTGTTAGAAACAGTGGTAATAGTAGGTGTGTGTGTGTGTGTGCGTATGCGTGTGTGTGTGTATATACAGTGTGTGTGTGTGTATATGTATATATACAGTGTGTGTGTGTGTGCGTGTGTGTGTATATATATATTGTAACATATACAGTAGGTTTTATAGAAGCCTTACATAAAAGAACAGATTATAAACAAATAACCCAAAAAATTATAAGTTCCTTTTAAATGTTGATGGAATAGAAAAATTGAGGAGCTTTCAGACCTGATGCTAAGAAAACAAAAAAACATGTGCGCACTTTATTTAATTAGTTTAAGTGAACTAAATACCATGCCCCCCCCCCCTTTCCCCGGCAAAGATCCGTCCATGCTATAACACAGCGGGATTCTCTGAGAAAAGGTGATCGATTTTTCCACATTTTGCCTATAGTACCACCTGTATGTGAACTCCAGTAGGTGACTCACAGCTCTTTGTAAGCACTCTCATATCTCAGAGATCAGACATAATCTGCCAGCAGTATTTATGAGCTACTGACAATTTGCTAAGTGTTTTGTCTGCCTAACATTTATTCGCAGACTTTACCAGAGCTACTTGGTAAATCAAATGATAGAAATCATAAAATATGAAATGAATATTTTAGTGTTTGTTTATGCAATGCCATTTTAACACTTCCTCTTCAGTGATTTATATTTCATTTCATGTGCTTATTACACAGTCTGCACAATAAACTTTAAATGTGACCCCCTTTTTTTCAAAGCGTTGTATCATTTTCTTATCCATCCTTAAAGTATAATTAAACAGTTGTTCTTTTTTGCATATATCTATGCAGTAGATATATGCAAAAACATTTTAAAACACAAAAGTTGCCAAAAAGGTAAATCCTTACCTTTGTCATCGCCGCTCGCTCACGTCTGAAGATCTGGAGCTTCTCGAAAGGCTGAGCAGGATGAAGGGGCGGGTGCATGCGTAGTAGAGATCTTCAGAGGGGAGAAGAGGAGAGATACAACAGAGGCGAATGCACACAGCCGTGACCATACACATCGGAGAGACAACGTGGGACCCGAGGAGTCTGCGCTGGATCAGAGACCGGCACCAGGACTGGAGGTATTGCCGAATACAAGTGGAAGGAAGATGATGATCGGATCAAGTGGCATAATTTAAGGTAAGTCCTTTAAGCAGCATGA